TTGCCATCACTGTTATAATCTTACAATGAAACAAAGTCTCAGATGTAATTATTCTGAAAATAAGTTTAGGCCTACCACAAGTTTGTTTTGTACTTACATTACTTATATAATCAAAATAAAATATTTGTTGTTCTGTCACAAGTGCAGTCTCTGATTTAAACAACACATTTGTTTTGCATTCCAACACAGGAGCTGGAATGTTGTAATATTTTAAGGATGGCTTGTTTCCAGTCCAGGCATTACTGCCTGAATGACTATCATGGATCGAGGTGATCCAAATGTAGGTGCAGAAGAAAGTCTTTAACTTCCCTTAAGTACAGTGGCAGTGGATGTGGGTTGGAGATGCAATGAGCTTGAACCTGCAGGCGACCATCTTCACTGACCACACCATCTGTGACGGAGGACTCATCTCTCCTGTTGTCCTGCAAGCAAACAATCATATTTTTTGGAACATGAACTTAATTGCTTTTGGGGCGATTGTGGCTCAAGAGTTGGGAGTTTGCCTTGTAATTGGAAGGTTGCCGGTTCGAGCCCCGGCTTGGACAGTCTTGGTTGTTGTGTCCTTGGGCAAGCACACTTCACCCGTTGCCTACTGGTGGTGGTCAGAGGGCCCGGTGGCGCCAGTGTCCGGCAGCCTCGCCTCTGTCAGTGCGCCCCAGGGTGGCTGTGGCTACAATGTAGCTTGCCATCACCAGTGTGTGAATGTGTGTGTGAATGGGTGGATGACTGGATGTGTAAAGCTCTTTGTGGTCCTTACCCAGATAGCAAGGAAACATTGAAACAATGTTGAGTCAATATCAGGCTGTGTCATTGAATCAACGTTGAAGTGTGACGTTGACCTAACGTCACTCTTGCACCCTTTTTTAACGTTGAAACAACGTCAGGTTTTGATGTTGAATCAATGTTGAAACCTGACGTTGATTCAACGTTATATTTTCTAATACTGCTGACATTGAAACAATGTCAGATTCTGATATTGAAACACTGTTGAGCTATGGTGTTGATTTTCCACCTCTTTCGCACAGTTGCTTTTTATTAAAACAACAGTTAAATCATGACTGGAAATCTACCTTTCTTTATAGGTATTTTAACCAATACTAAACTACTGCAATATCCTAAAATAAGAAAGCATTGCATGTGATGTAACAGAGAAAAAAAATAAACAAAAAAAGGTCAATAGGCATGTTTCGTTTGCTAAATACTTTATTAAAAGACAGTTTCTATTTACGTTTATATGTTTCACAGAAGTTTGTAATTTTTTACTTCGGGATGGGGATGCATGATGTGCGTCCTGCACCACCCAAACGATCTGGGGCGTATCGGAGCCATTTCTGCACTGCTTGTGCAAAGACAAACTCGGACATAGAGTTTGCCCCTAACTGCTGCGTCAGGCCATCTAGGACAAAAATAACCACACACCACACACACAACACACACACACACACACACACACACACACACACACAAACAAAAAAAGTGAATTAGAGCACATGAATAAGCTCTTGTTAACTGTCTTCAGCGGGGAGAAAGTATGTAAACTCCTAGGCTGATAAACATGAAAGTCACCAGGCGTAAATCTGCAAACTGCCGCATTTGATTCCCAAAGAGCTATGAGCGGAAAAAGTGATAAGTCTTAGCATGGTGTGCCGTGTATCCTTTAAAACAAAATAAACATGGGGTCCTCGGGCTGTACAAACTACAACCCGAGGACTAAACAAGCCAAAGACCAAAGACTCCATCTCCAGATTAACCGGACATGAAAGTCTTGTTATTAAGAAAGACAAAGTAATATACCATAAAAATGGTAAAACTTACCAAATATGCATTTGCAGAGCGCTGTATCTTTAAATGCCCTTTTTTGCTTTGTCTGGTCCTTGGTTTTTCCCCTGCCCAGTTTAGTACCGAGGCCAGCTCGTTTGTAATGGCATAAGCCATTACACGGCGGACTCGCACCTCCAGTGTGGTCCCTCCAATCAAGGCAAAGCGTCTCACCTATAGACACATTTTAAGAGATGGAATTAGCGTGTCTCATGTCTTAAATGTGTATGCAAGTGCTTGTGTGTTTAATCAACAGGCCGTTGTTATGTATTTAAATCACATCTGACAGCTATTACACTTTATAGTTACAAAGTGTACATAACCTTTATATACTTACCATTGCCTTATTTGCCTCTTGTGATTGAAGAGCTGGCTCTGCATTGTTTAGCTCCTCAATGTTGTGCAAGGGCAAATCCAGAGGCAGTACCCCAGCATCTACCGATTCATTGCAGCCGGTATTGCGGATGGCTCTGACCTCCTCACGGAGTTCGTTAACAGCTCTCGTCAGGTCTGACAGAAAAAGATAATTTTTTTTAAGTATTTAAGAATACAGACAACTTGTCAAAAGTTTCCTTGTGTCACACACAGATATGTACAAAGACACTAGACAGTATTTTATTACCTGGTATTTTCACTCGAGGGGCCTGGGGAAACCATTTTTTTGTGGGCTGCTCATCCTCTGAGTCACTATATGTGTACAGGGGATTTGGTCTAAAGAAAAAAAGTTGAAAACGGTCATAAGTAATTACAAATGTGCTTTTGGAATATTTTTTCCTAAAGTTACAGTTTGATTTATAACAACACACACAGGAAACGGAGATGTGCAAGAAGGTACAGTATACAAGGAATTTTTGAAGTGCACAAGTGTACACGGCTTTGCATTTATAAAAAGTTTACAAGCTTCCACTTTTTGGACTATATTATGTGGTGATATTGCAGTATGCAAGCACCACAGATATGTATAAAAGACAAGATCATAAATTCTTAGCAATCAAAGATATGTTTGTGAAATAAAAAAAGTTTTACTTGTGCTTTCTTTTATGACTGGTCTGAGTTTCAGCTTCGGACTGAAGGTCAGACGTATCACAGTGTTCACTTAGATATTTCTGAAGACTGCGTTCTGCTTCGTGAAATGTGTCTGGAAGTACAAACACAATGTATGGCCAGACATAAATTAGGACACGAAAAACTTGTTATTGTTACATTTATACAACACCAATCCAGATGATACCCACCATGGCTTATTAGAAGTCGGACTGGTGCATAGGTGAGCCATGTTGCACCAGGATGAACTCTCCTCTTTACTGCGTCGTGGATCCTGAATGTGTCTCACGGAGGATATGGAGGCCATGACAATTTCTCCCCATTTATCCATGATCTAGGGACTATTTCTGTACCACCAGTGCTAAACTGCACAATGCACCAGTCTTTCATTTTTATCTTTTTTTTAATTTGGAGTCCTTTTTTGCCCTGTCTAGGATAAACAGGAAACAGATAATTACAATATATTTCATAGTCACTACAAAACTTGATCTATTGATTGAACTAAATAATAAATAATAGCTTAAAATGTATATAGGCAACAATTACAAGCAAACCCGTATATGTAAGCATTTAAACACTGAAGATAATAAAATTAACAGTATTTTGTCTAAGTCTGCCATTGTAGGAATTCATGGCACCGAGACAAAAACTTGGCGCACAGTGTGGCGTCAAAATAGGCGCACACCTTTGACGCTGCGTTTTCTCCGTCTTCCTCGTCCACACGTAAATGCTAAACGCAGTTTACGTGTGGACAAAAGGTGCAAACGCAAGTTAGGTGAGCGTGCAGCGTAAAGTTTGAATTGAGTGCGAATCGAAGCGGGTGCTCTCCAATCATTAAAAGTAACAAAGTCATTGAACACATTTATACAGTTACCTTTACGTTTATCAATCATATATCACAGATTTACAATTTTTTGTAGTACTATGCTAAAAAGCAACTACAGAGCGAAAGTCTGGGTCAAGCGCCGAGGCGACGGCAAGAACAAAGGAACCCTCGAAGCGTTAAAGCTAGCTTTGTAAGGGAATATAACGGAAAAGTATGAAACGAAAATGTTTTCTTTGTTGATAGACTTTGTTTGCAGTGCAATTTATTTGTTGCCGGATTGTAAGATGAAAGTAGACACAATTTCGGGCTCCCACATTTTATCCGAAACTTTACATTAACAAGTTTGTTTTGTTTTTTTTACTGTTATTCAAATGCAACCGTGGAAATAACGAATAGAACAAAAGTCATTCATTCTTACCTTATACTAATCGTGGTGCAGGCCAGTGCAGTGCATGAACTGATGCCTTCTCCGGTCAATTCCGCTGAGAGTAAATCTAATGTCCCGCTCTACTGTACAAGACAATGGTTACCTGGAGGGATGTACCAATGTGATAGGGGTGCTGCGGAATAGTCCAAGTGGTAGCAGCTTTAATTTCCCGCTCAACCATAAATCGATGGTTTTTCAACGTGATTGTTGTCACCTTGTCAACTATAAATAGATCAACAATCAACGATGGCAGAACAACAGTGAATCAATGTTATTTCAATGTCAGTGTCAGGTTTCATCAGTATTTCAATGTTGTTTCAACATTGGTTTTGTGTTGACGTTTCAATCCTGACGATTCTGATGGTTCAGATGGAAAATCAACATCTGTTCAATGTCTCCTTGCTATCTGGGTAGGGACTAGTAAAGCGCTATATAAATACAGGCCATTTGCTTTCCTAAAACATTTTTTTCTGCATTTGGTATAAAACAGACTCCAATTTGGACAATCTCAGGGTGCCTCCCCACCGGAGAGGTGACATTCAATGTCCCAATTGTCCGTCTGGATAGCCATGACTACCACCCAACACACAATAATGTCATGAAAGCATCATTTTAAAAAGGGCTATGCAAACATGGCCAATAACTTTCATTCTAATGATGTGCTAAATGATTTGGGCACAAAACAAACACTAACACTAACTAGCTAGCAAGATTATAAACCTGGTGCTAAAGTAAGAGAAGCCACTAAATCAGTTTGAATAAGAGTAAACATTTACTCACCAAGTCAGTGTATCAGGTAAAGATCCACAGCAATGACAATAATAATATCTTGAGCTGACGCTTCTCCAGGTTTGATCAACATATTCCATAACAAATGCTGCCACCATGAACATGCAGACTGATCCGCGAGGGAGGAGGATGGTACTGACATGGCATTTTCAAAACACATCTTTCATCCTTCCGCCCTGAGAAGCAAAACTTCCATCTTACTTAGTTTTTCTAAGTTAAGACAACTCAAATAAATTGAGTTTATCAGTGTTTTTGCATAAAAAGTACTGGTAACTTATTTAAATCTAGTTCTAATAACAAATTGATAAAAACTGAGTTCAGCCTATTTAATATTTTTAATTAAACACAATATTATATTTTACAGTGTACATGTAAATGGAGAGTCCTCTTCACCCACTAAGGTCAATTATGGTGTTCCACAGGGTTTGGTGCTAGGACCAATTCTGTTTACATTATACATGCTTACCTTAGGCAGTATCATTGGAAGACATAGCATACATTTTCACTGCTATGCAGATGACACCCAGCTCTATCTGTCCATGAAGCCAGATAACACACACCAATTAGTTAAACTGCAGGAATGTCTTAAAGACATAAAGACCTGGATGGCCGCTAACTTTCTGCTTCTTAATTCAGATAAAACTGAGGTTATTGTACTTCGGCCCTGAAAATCTTAGAAATATGGTATCTAACCAGATTCTTACTCTGGATGGCATTACCTTGGCCTCCAGTAACGCTGTGAGGAACCTTGGAGTCATTTTTGACCAGGATCATGTCCTTCAACGCACATATTAAACAAATATGTAAGACTGCTTTCTTCCATTTGCGCAACATCTCTAAATTAGAAATATCCTGTCTCAGAGTGAGCTGAAAAACTAGTTCATGCATTTATTACTTCCAGGCTGGACTACTGTAATTCATTATTATCAGGATGTCCAAAAAACTCGTGAAAAGCCTTCAGCTAATCCAAAATGCTGCAGCAAGAGTACTGACAGGGACTAGAAAGAGAGAGCATATTTCTCCTGTTTTGGCTTCCCTTCATTGGCTTCCTGTTAAATCCAGAATTGAATTCAAAATCCTGCTCCTCACATACAAGGTCTTAAATAATCAGGCCCCATCTTATCTTAATGACCTTGTAGTACCATATCACCCTATTAGAGCACTTCGCTCTCGCTCTGCAGGCCTACTTGTTGTTCCTAGAGTATTTAAAAGTAGAATGGGAGGCAGAGCCTTCAGTTTTCAGGCCCCTCTTCTGTGGAACCAGCTTCCAGTTTGGATTCAGGAGACAGACACTATCTCTACTTTCAAGATTAGGCTTCAAACTTTCCTTTTTGCTAAAGCATATAGTTAGGGCTGGACCAGGTGACCCTGAATCCTCCCTTAGTTATGCTGCAATAGACGTAGGCTGCCGGGGATTCCCATGATGCATTGAGTTTTTCCTTTCCAGTCACCTTTCTCACTCACTATGTGTTAACAGACCTCTCTGCATTGAATCATATCTGTTATTAACCTCTGTCTCTCTTCCACAGCATGTCTTTATCCTGTCTTCCTTCTCTCACCCCAACCGGTCGCAGCAGATGGCCCCGCCCCTCCCTGAGCCTGGTTCTGCCGGAGGTTTCTTCCTGTTAAAAGGGAGTTTGGGGCGATTGTGGCTCAAGAGTTGGGAGTTCGCCTTGTAATTGGAAGGTTGCCGGTTCGAGCCCCGGCTCGACAGTCTCGGTCGTTGTGTCCTTGGGCAAGACACTTCACCCGTTGCCTACTGGTGGTGGTCAGAGGGCCCGGTGGCGCCAGTGTCCGGCAGCCTCGCCTCTGTCAGTGCGCCCCAGGGTGGCTGTGGCTACAATGTAGCTTGCCATCACCAGTGTGTGAATGTGTGTGTGAATGGGTGGATGACTGGATGTGTAAAGCTCTTTGGGGTCCTTAGGGACTAGTAAAGTGCTATACAAATACAAGCCATTTACCATTTTTCCTTCCCACTGTCACCAAAGTGCTTGCTCATAGGGGGTCATATTATTGTTGGGCTTTTCTCTGTATCTACTGTACAATATAAAGCGCCTTGAGGCGACATTCGTTGTGATTTGGCGCTACATAAATAAAATTGAATTGAATAGATCTAGGATCAACTCTTATTTTCAGAAGACCTGGAGGTGTTTGACCTGAAGAAACACACTGCTTCAGAGAAGACTTTTCTGAGGTTGTTGCCATGGGTAAAAACTTCCAACAAATCTCTGTAAGTGTGTAGAGACACACCTCAACATTGTTGCTTTAACTGTTTAGATATGGAATTGAAAAAAACCCTGAACATTTTCATTCGCAATTTAGGCTGGGTGGGTGTAACCTCTCAGAGAGAAGCTGTCAAGCTTTGTCCTCGGCTCTTGACACGGAGTCATGCAGCCTGAGAGAGCTGAACCTGAGTAACAACGACCTACAGGATTCAGGAATAAAGTTTCTGTCTGCTGGTCTGGCAAGTCCACACTGTAAACTGGAAACTCTCAGGTCAATACACACTGCACGTCTTAGAACAGACATGATGTACAGTATTTTTCTGCACTATAAGATGGACCTAAAGTTGTTACATTTTCACAAAAATCGACAGTGCACCATATAATCCAGTGCGCCTTATGTATGAATACCCATTGTGCTTACTGACCTCGAACCGATTTTATGTGGTACACAGTGCTCAAAAATCGGTCAAAAATGTTTTAGTACATCTTTGGTAAGCTATGAAGCTGCACCGCTTGATGGATAGTCAGAGCAATATGGCTACTGTAGTGAGGAGCCTTGCAGAGTAATCTGGGTCCATGAATACTAACTTGAGTGACTGTACCTGGCGAGGCTCCATATTAAAAATGGAGATGAAGATAAAGAGTTCCAAGACCTGTAAAGGCAATAGAATATGTGCAAGAAACACTTACCCCCGCAGCTGTGACTTTTTATTCTAGTTTTCGTTTCTTCTATGTCTACTGATTTATAAGTCTTTTTCTGTGCTCTGTATAATCTGTCTTGTCCTGTGTTTTACTTTGAGTTATGCCACTGCTTTAGTGTCTCCCTGTGTTCCGTGTCTCCTCAGGTATTTCATGTCTGTATGTTCAATGTCCTAATTGGCAGGTTTGTGTTTCCATGTTCAGTGTGTTTAGTTTTGCTTCCCCTGTGGTGTCATGTTCATTTGTGTCAGCTGTGTTTCCCCAGGTGTTTCTACTTCCCTCATTACCCTTCTGTGTATTTAAGTCCTCTGTCTTCCTCTGTTCAGTCTCAGGTCATCTGTTTGTCTCGCTACATGCTTCTGTGAGTCTCGGCTCTTCATGTCTCAGGTTTTCCCTCCAGCTCCTGTTCATGTTCTGATTATCTCACGTTATAGTTTTTCATGTTCCTCTGCAGGCCATGTTCATGTCACATTTTTCATGTTTTATTTTTAGTTTTTCTCTAGTTTGCCATGTTTTTGTTTTGACATTAGCCCAAATAAATGCTCACTTTTTGTTATACTTCATTTTTCTCCCATGCCTGTGCTTTGCTCCACACCTCAAAACACACCAGCCTGCCTGTCACACCAGCTGTGACAGGAGGATAGAAAATAAGTACTTTATATGACATTTTTGTGTCCATGAACCAGCATAATCTTGTAGCTATTAAGCAGAGTTGGGAGGAAGAAACTGTTATTTTTTTTTAAAGTAAGTAGAGGTAATATGCATTGAAGCTAATTTTACTACAAATTCATACACATAGAGGGAGTTTAAGTGGACTATAATATTAAGCTTTTTCAGAACTCCAAAAATCAAAGATGAACCTAAATAATCCCGGCTCATGCTGGAGAAAGTGTGGCATTCAAATAACAGCTCACACTCATGTATTTTGGTCATGCGCCAAACTTACTGCAATCTGAAGGGATTGATGCTGTCAAAGCAGTTTTTAAAGTTAACATATCACCAGATCTCAGCTGGGTCTCATATCAAACGGGCTAGAGGGATGAACTAAGATCTGCCTCCTTAATCTGTTACTCACTTCTATCACCCAGTCACACAAACATTGTTTAACACTTGCATTGACACACTTTAATTTTCATGGATGGGCTCAGTACCTTGTCCAAAGATACTTTGAGATTGAGAAGCACGGAGCAAACCAGTGACCCTCTGACTGGTAGTAAGCTGCTTCCTGAGCCACAGTCTGCCCAGGACAATTATATTACTATTTGATTGCCTTGGAATTTGATTACGAAACAGGCCACCAAGCTCAAATCTGGCTCATCTTCAAGGAGAATCATCGCGGCTGATTTACCTATTGCTAGCATTCACTCTATTATTTAAGGGTTTCCATCTTACACTGACAAGGCACAGCCAGTGAAGTAGCAGTTTACCTCAGTACCTCACCAACATTCAAAAGGAGTTAAATAATGCCAAGGAGCAGGACTGTTCCGTTCCTGTAGACGGCAATGATTATCGATTTTATTCTAGCTTCATGAACCTCACAATTATCCCTCTTTACTGTTCAAGAAATGGAAACAACTGTGAACAACTACCAACAAGCTCCTGCAGTTCAGTTAACCACAAAACCAAACAGAAATAATGGAGATGGGAGTCAAATGTATGCCGGTGCGCTGCTCTTTAAAACGTGTCTGTGGTTTTAAACAGTTTGCTGCCTGCTAATGCAACCCCACACGCGGACCAGTAATGTGCTTTGATTTAAGTGTTTGTATTAGTAAAACACACCATAAGTATTTTTCAAAGTAACTTCTGACACATTAAAACAAGAAACCCATGATGCAGTGAGTGTGTTGTGTCTCTGTAGTCTATCAGGGTGTCTGATCACAGAGAAAGGCTGTTGTTCTCTGGCCTCAGCTCTGAGCTCCAACCCCTCCCATTTGAGAGAGCTGGACCTGAGCTACAACCATCCAGGAGCCTCAGGAACGACGGTGCTGTCAGCTGGACTGAAGGATCCATGCTGGAGACTGGACACTCTCAAGTATGTAGAGTCCTAAGTGAACCTGTCCTTTCCTCAGGTCCTGAACCAAAGTCTTCATGAGCCATCTGATTAGTTGACAACCCGTTTTACCTTCCAAGCCCTAGTGATGTTATGAAAGGCAGAATAAATCATTCCTGAAGGTTAATTGTCAGTTTAGCCTGGAAAGGAGCGACCACAGCACAATATTTTAGAGATACTTTACTTAAGTGTACCTGTCCAGTTGTTGAAAATATTGCAAAACTTAATTTAGTCTAAGATGGAATTAAAAAACCCCAAACTAAAGTGACATTCATCTTAGATTCAACTTTAATTTAGGTTTATTATTTCAACACAATGTCCATGTGTGCATGCTGCAACAAGCTGTGCTCCTCCTCCTTTCAGGGTGGAGCCTGCTGGAGTCCAATGGTTGATACCAGGCCTGAGGAAGTGTAAGTGTGTTTTTCATGTGATTCATGAAAACAAAGCAGCACACATTCAACCATCTTCAATGAACAGATGATGGATCAATAACTGCAGCTGTATTATACTTTCACTCAGATTTCTGTGAACTCAACATCGACACAAACACAGCGTACAGAAACCTCAAACTGTCTGATAGAAACAGGAAGGTGACATACATGGAAGGCGATAAACCGTATCCGGATCATCCAGACAGATTCGAATGGTGCACTCAGCTGCTGTGTAGAAATGGTCTGACTGGTCGCTGTTACTGGGAGGTGGAGTGGAGTGGAGACATTTTTATTTCATTGAGTTACAGAGGAATCGGAAGGAGAGGATTCAGTAAAGTCTGTGTGTTTGGATGGAATGACCAGTCGTGGAGTTTGAACTGCTCTGATGATGGTTGTTATTCTGTGTGGCACAATGACAGAGGAACTACGATCTCCTCCTCCTCCACCTCGGTCTCTCACAGAGTAGGGGTGTATGTGGACTGTCCTGCTGGCACTCTGTCCTTCTACAGTGTCTCCCCTGACACTCTGATCCACCTCCACACCTTTAACACCACATTCACTGAAACTCTGTATCCTGGATTTGGATTCTGGTCATTTGGTTCTTCAGTGTCTCTGTGTGCAGTTGAGTATCACTGGTCTCTTCCTGTTATAGAAACACTTACTTATTGTGTAGAGTTTCTTGCTGATTTTGTTCCCATATCCACGTCAGGATGCCAGAAAAAGACAGCTGACCGAAAAACCTTCACACAGGTATCAAATTATTAAATGCAGTAAAACTGAACCTGAGACTAGATTATGTCATAACTTACTTCAGTTGAAAGTTTAGCTCATTCTGGTTAGTTACAGCTTAATACACCAGTATACAGCAAAGAAAGGATGTACTCTTTGTATGATGTCCAAGGGGGCAGACTAACCCATAAACTGGATCTACAGAAACAGTTACTATTGTTTGTCTCTGTAGGATTGAAGGGTTCACGATGATTAAAGCTTCCTGTGAGTACTCAGACTTAGAAGTATTTTCCTGGAAAGTTTTCAAAAATGTTAACAAGCCAGGTTTAAATTGCCCAAACCTACTGACATCTGCTGCTGATCTTTTGTCTTTAGGTGTTTCCAGTGTAAAAGCAGACACACAGCCTGGTTTGTCAGAGGATAACACAAAGATGATCGAGGTGAGTTTCCAGATATTTAAGGACTCTAAAACACAGATTTAATAAATATCTGTTGTAGGCTGGTACTTTTTCAACTCTTTGTACAACAAACTGTCAGCACAGAAACGGATTCATCATTTCATATGAGAACTTTGTGCTGTATCCAAGCTTTGTACTCATTCCCAGCAAATAGTAATTTGTAATTTTTTGACAGTTTTGTACCCTTTCAGGTACATATTGTTGATGTGATTCACGACCTAGCTTTCTTCTCCAAGTATATGTTCCTGAAACCTCTAATGTTACTTCTTTCAGTCCAGTTTCACACCTGAGGTGTACGGTGAATCTGCACACATCTTTTACAGGTAATCCTGCACAAGTCTGCATGTAACAAATCTGAAGCTCATCAGACCTCAGACTATGTCTTCCTCCTCCCGTCTCCACAGTTTCCTTCTATTGGGGTTAAACTGTGACGGTTGTTATCCTATGAGTTCTCCTTTGTATATGACTTCTTGTATTCTGAGTTCTGTTTTTGTATTCTAGTTTTGAGGGTTTTTTTCTGTGTCTAGTTCTTAGGTTTAGTTCTGTGCCCAGTCTGTTTCCCGTTTTACTTTGAAGGTCAACATATTCTGTTTTGCTTCCTCCCAAACTCGTCTTTGTATTTAGTGTCTGCATGTGTTCCCATTCAGTGTCGCGTCATCCCTCATTCTGGCCTGTGTGTTTTGGTTCTGTTTCAGTTTGTAGCCCTTCTAGTTTTTTTTCGGTTTTCAACTTATGACTCCAATAAAGCAGGGGTCCTTGAGTTTAAGTTCTGCCTCCAGGAGTCTGCATATTGGGTCCTTTTCCTGCCTGCCTGCACACAGCCATGACATAAACATTGATTTGAAAGCTAGAAGTGCTTTCATGTATTTAAGTGTGGGAGGCTTAGCAGTTTGTTATCTCTCCGATGAATTTACCAACAGGACTGGAAACAGAGAGGATTTTTTATTGGGATTATATTTTTTCCTTTATCTCTTTTCTTGAAGATAAACAATAAAACCCAGAAAACAATGATAACAGGTGGCCAGGTAACAGGAGCACTGGGAGCTGTAACCCTGAACGTGGAAGAGTGACTCCAGTAGCTTTAAGGACAGAGTCAGAGGTGTCAGTCACACAGGCCTGCAGATCGGTTGGTTAGCTTGTAAAGTCCACCAACAACTAAAAAACTGAAAGTTAAGTTTTCATTCACAAGATGGTTTGTATCAGGGAATATAGCAGATAAATTAGCTAACAGTTGTAGACCTAGCTGGTTGGAAACAGGAACACAGGAAGATTTTTAAACAAATGGGTTATAACATAAAAAAGTAGGAAGCAAATAATAACAAAGGAACAAACTATATATGACCTTATTTATTCATATGCAGATATCTGTTTGTTTTAACAGGTTTTAACATGGTCACTCATCTCTGCATTGCTTCAGTTTCAGGTGTCCTGGTCAAGGTGTGTTCCAGTGTACTCTGACTGGACTCGTGTTTGATATCAGTCAGCAGGCAGAGCTTCTGTACAAGACCGTCCAATGGGATGAGAAACTCCTTCAGCAATCCAATAAGATGGCTGCAGGCCCACTGTTTAACATTAAGAGTTCAAAGGATGCAGTCCGTCAGCTCCACCTACCACACTGTGTACCAAAGGATGGTGAGCAAAGCACTCCTCATGTGGGGATGCTAACGCCCCTACAGGCTGCAGAAATCTTCCTACTGACTGCCATAATGATCACTGAGACCCTGTTAATGTCAGAGCTCAAAAGGAGACTCTTGGTTAATGTAGACTTAGAAAGAGAGAGCATTTTTCTCCTAAATTGGCTTCCCTTCATTGGCTCCGTGTTAAATCCAGAATTCAAAATCATGCTCCCCACATTCAAGGTCTTGAATAATCAGGCCTCATCTTATCTTAATGACCTTATAGTACCATATCATCCCATGGTACAGCCACTTTGCTCTCACACTGCAGCCTTACTTGTTGTCCCTACCCAGACCGTCACTGACCCACCGTCATGCTGAATGAGGATGTCGGTCCCTCAGGCCCCCATGTTTCTTACTGGTCAGAGACTTTAACACCAGTGGCCTGCTGGAGGTCATTTTGTAGCTCTGGCAATGCTCGTCCTATTCCTCTTTGCACAAAGGAGAAGATACTGGTCCCGCTATTGGGTTAAGGCCATCTACGGCCATCTCCAGCTCTACTAGAGTAACTGCCTATACTTGGATTAAAATCCACAGTGTACTTTTAAAAGCAAAATCAGTCACCTCTGCATATCACATAAGTGGTGCGTTTAAATATTCTCCAGAAGCCTCTCCCCCGTAGTCTGTCTGATATCTCTGTGTTGGTGTTGATAATAACGTTTGCCCAGGATAGGTATTGCAGCTGAACAATCACATTGTTGCGTTGTTGTAGCTTTGGGAAGTAGAAGGAAAAATTTATATTTATAATTACTTGTATTATCAAGTTAGTTTTCCTTTTCCAAATTTAGGTTACTTCTGCTAGTTTGTTAGTGACAGCATTTGATGGCATAAGCTAACTTCTTAGCTAATGTCAACTGAATGCTCAGACAATGTGAGTGGTCAATAGTGATTTTGATCCTGGACCATCATTGTTATGATGATGGAGGAACACCAACACAGGGACATCAGTCTGTGTTCTCCCCACAGAGGTCCTACCTGGTAGAAATGAAGGAGACTCACTTGTGTCTCTGCAACAGGGTTTGATCCATTGCCTGACCCAGGACACCATTTGAAGTGTTTTCTTTGTAAAATCAGATTCACACTGTCATTGTAATGAGGTTTTGGGAGTCGAAGAGATATCTGCTGGCTCTTTGTTTTCACAGCTCTGCTTTCCAACTGTCTGTCTGTCGTCCACATCTCTGATGGGGAAATGAACGTCCTCAAGCCCCTAAAGATCACAGACACTCATGTGATTGTGGAATTTCCTCACCTCTCTTCCTTTGGACTCGTGTGGGACATAATAAGGAGGTTTTGGAACAAGGAGAAACCAGTTTTGGGCCAAGTTTTGTTGTTCCTCCGTCTGCCAAACCCGAAAACACAGAAGCAAAACCTCAATGTGTTTCTCTTGCCAAGCAACATCCCAGTGGAAGAGGTAAAGGTCTAGGAAAGGTTATACCTTTACCTTCAGTATTAACTAATTTTATCTTTCTCGGAGCTTGTCCATCTTCTGTTACTTGGGTCAAGTCAGGTTCAGAGACAGCAGAAAATACAAGTTATTCCAGGTTTCCTTCTCTTCAGAAGAATCTTCCACCTCTTCCAGGGGATCTTGGGGAGGTCCCAGACCGACTGGGACTATATATCTTGTATGGATGTTGTACTTCATGAAGGTGGTTTAAGTAATACTAGGGTGCATTACAATGGGAATTTATGATAAAGAACTAACCTGCTCTAGAGGAGGTTACATTTGAGTGGAAGAAAACTCAAACCTCATTCTGCCCCTTACCATCGAATTCAGCATCATTTGTGGGTGAACTGAGCATTTGTGGCTTCATGCAATCTCCAGTCACTAGGAAAACTATGTATTCCCCAACTGGTTGGTGAATGTTTGTTAGAGGTTGCTGGGTATCCCTAGTGGGAAATCAGTTGCAAAGAGGGTGAAACATGGAAAAGAGACTGTTAGTCTTAAAGTAAGAACGTTTCCTTATCACTGCATCCAGTGCAGTTCAGAGGGAGAAGATTGTCGGTTTACTTTATAATTATACTCTTTCTTTATAATTTCACCGCCTCTTAAAGAGCAGTTTTCTTCACATGTATATTTCATCATGAGGTCATTTAAAATTACTCTAGAAATAAACTTGTCATATTTTAAGGTAAGGATGAAACACAGATATTCTGACTACATCCCGGTGCCTTCCAACTGTGAATTCTTCAAAGATTGCATATACACAGTTCTGTGTCCAGTCGCCTGTAGAATCCAGCCTGAGGTGAGTAATTCATCTCTCTGTGGTGGAGCCCTTTGACACGCTTCCATCAGAGGACTCTGGATATGATGGAGACACTTGCACTGTGTTTGCAGGAGGAAAAATTTCACCTGGATTTTGGACCAAACTACCACCCAACATTTGAGATCCGCCTTCCTGCAAACACTGAAGAAGTATCGATAACAGTCAAGGACCAAATGCAGACAGATGTCTGGAGGCGGGACATTGATCTGAGCGGTAACATCACTACACCTGACACTCGATCAGAAATGATGAGAAACGGTGGTCCGTGGTAGCTTTTGAGTAATGACCAAGGATCACCCGCAAGTTTTCTTCCTCCTTCATTCTCCTCTTCTTCTTCTTTCGGCTGTTCTGTTTAGGATCATTTGCCACCATCTCTTCCTATTCCAGCATCCTCTAAACCTGTGCATGTCCTTCTTCACTCCTTCCTTCTGCCTGCAGTTTCATCTTCATTCTCCACCCTCCCTCCTCTGCACATGCTCAGACCATCTCAACCTCTCTGACTCTCAGCTGTCCCTCTGATGGACTTGTTTCCATCCTGCTCACTGAGGCCCTGAGCACCCCCAGCTCGGCCTCCTGTCCTGTGTTCATTAAATTGTATCTACTCATTTTGAATTTGTCTCCAGCCACGTGATTCATGCTATTACTGACAGAGTGTCTGAAGCTCAGCGACATTCAGTGCTGATTAATTACCAGCAGAGATTCTCTCGATTTTTTGAAGCTGATTATTCTGCTATGAAGAAATCTACAAATTTTCTCTATTCCCTCAGATGTTGTTCAGACCAGAGACAATCGGTTGAGGCTGCAGAGCCTCCCACCAGACAAGCATTTGCTCTTCATTCGGAAGCAGTTTGTGGATCAAGTGTCGGATTCGAATTTGAACCAGCTGCTGGACAGCCTGTTCCAACAGGGAATCATAAATATGGAAGAAATGGATTCAGCCAGAATCAAACCCAGAGCTGACCGAGCTCGGGATGTGATCGATGTGGTGCGAAATAAAGGAGAAGAAGCCAGCTCATCCCTGATTGATGGCCTCCGTGAGTTGGATCCATACTTTTCTGAAACCCTGCATGTGAGCTGAGACGGAGCTTCAGCTATGTCCACACAGGAAGCTTTGAAACTGATGGTCACTGCCACACATCATAGCTAAGAAAAGATTATCTCAGGACCCGGCTGCTTGCCTGTGTTTTTTTTTTTTTGGGGGGGGGGTTGTCCTTTTTTTTGTTGCCCACAGATGCTTGAAGTTGCTGAATCTTACTGACTCGTGGTCGCTGGGCGCCATGCCACTGCGAATCACTTCCTGTGCGGATGGCATGTGACTGTAACATCATGATGGCAGCTAATAACTTCAATGTAAACTACGTCATGAAGGTTACCAGCAACACAAAGATGCCGAAACACCAGAATCTCTGCTTTACTCTGGCACCTCCTTCCTGATGACATCACCCAGGTTGTAAAATACAGTGACCTCCAATTGGTTGACGACCAACGTGTATATTTGAATGTTGAAATTTAAAGTGCATCAGTTTCTTAAAAGTAACTGAATACCCTGGAAACGCCTTACATCGTTCAGATATTTGAACTGTCGTTTGTGAAAACTTGTATTATATAAAATATAAGTAGTTACATTTCTACTTTTATATTGATTTATTGATTTGATGATGGGGTTTTATTTTTCTGCTTCACTTTTAGTAAATAAATCTAAATTATGGTGAGAAGCATGGCAGCCAAACTTGTGCTCTGACATGTTGACCAAGTTCAGATTCACCAATGACTCCGCTGAACCGACTGGGCTTCAGGTTGTTAACAGTGATGTTCATTGATGTTCACTGAGCAGAGGAAAGTTTATTGTCTTCTGGCTTAGTTAAAAAACTGAATGAATTCTTGTAAAGTACTTTGAGAGATCTGGGAGTTACAAGGATGCCAAAATTTTGGCTGGTAAATCAAATGAAAATGACTCCATGAACCAACAAACCCGCAGAGAGGAGATGGTCCTGCTTCCACAATGTGAGGCGAGTGCACAAGTGTGAACGTGGGCCTGATATTAGCACCATGCTCTTCTCACACTGATTGTTATAACTCAAAAGTGTTATTGGAAGTGGCTGAGGATGCATCATTTTAACCACTTCTTAATAAATATCGACTGCTGTAGGAGGTCTGCCCAATCTTGAAAAGGTATTACTAGGTCATCCATCTTCCATCTGTCTTCTGTGGTACGTGCCTCAGCTCTCTCAAACTAAAAGTTATCCTTTTTTTCTTCAAAGGACAGTTTTATTCGCCTACAAACTTTTGATCTCATTGAACTAAAGTTATGAAAATGGCTTCTTTAGTTCTGATGCAGTCATTAGATCAGACAATAAAGACCAGCCGTAGTTTCCCACATTCAGTACAGGGACGCTCATATCGGTGTTAGTGGACCGGACTCAGATAAAACTGACATTATTGACCAGAAAAAGAGAGCAGATTTCTCCTATATTGGCTTCCCTTCATTGGCTCCCTATTAAATCGAGAAATCTCTACTTTTAAGATTAGGCTTCAAACTTTCCATTTTTCTAAAGCATATAGTTAGGACTGGATCAGATGACCCTGAATCCTCCCTTAGTTATGCTGCAATAGGTCTAGGCTGCTGGGGGATTCCCATGATGCAGTGGGTGTTTCTTCTTCACTCATTGTGTCTTAATAGACCTCTCTGCATTGAATCATACTTGTTATTAATCTCTGGCTCTCTTCCACAGAATGTCTTTATCCTGTCTTCCTCCCCTCAATCAGTTGGTTTCTTCTTACTGTTAAAAGGAAGTTTTTCTTTCCCACTCTCACCAAAGTGCTTGTTCATAGGGGGTCATTTGATTGTTGGGTTTTCTCTGTATTATTGGAGGGTCTTTAATTTACAATATAAAGCACCTTTAGGTGACTGTTGTTGTGATTTGGTGCTGTATGAATAAAACTGAATTGCACAGAGCCCCAAGAGAACTTTGATCCTGCTTTAGGCCCTAAGGTGGAAATGGAGTGTTGGTTACTTTTTCTCTTGTTCTTGTAATCTGTCTCCAGTTTAAAAGTCCTGTGAGAACAACAGAGTCACTGTAGAGGAGTCTGTAACCGACGCTGAAGCTCAACCACATGTAACTGAGACTGTGTGTAATGTTTTTTAAGTGTCAGGTAATTTGAAATGCAGCGTTTCTATCAGCTCACCAAACATCAGCAAACACACAAACTGTGTGCAATTTGTCTCACAGTGTGTTGCAGCTGCTGTATTTCACAGGGAGAGAAAAGCAAGATATGGACAGAACTTTGTGCCATCAGAAACTGAATTTGAATAAGTTAAATTTGAATTTGAATTGCTCAGATTGAATCTGAATTGTAACTTGAATAAATGCTTTTTTAAAACTGAATTTGAATTAGCTTAATTGGAAATTCAGTGTATTGGTTTGAAAATGATCGTCACTAAATTGAAATTGAATTTTATATTTTGAAAATGAATTCATTTGCTTTGAAACTATTTTATCATTTAAAAATGTAGCTCCCGAATAATTTCACTTTCACTTCTCAGCATTCAGTTTCAGTTCTACAATTCAATTTCAGTTTCAGAATTCATTTTTTGGGGACTTACATCCCATATTAGATATTGTTGACCTCCAACTGCACAGAGAATTTAGAAATGTAATTATTGACAAGAGTGAACGAGCACTGATAGTGTAATCTACAGCTGTGGCCAAACGTTTAGAGAATGAGAAGTGTTGTTGTTGGTTTTTTGTTTAGTTTAGTTTAGTTTTTTACAAAGTTTGCTGTTTCAGTCATAGTTATATATCATATTATATCACTTCAAACAGAGGTGATCCAGTAATGCTGCAGTAAAGAATTTGACCAACTATTCACTGTAGCTAAAGTTATTGAGTTAGCTAAAGAGTTTGGATGCAGTGTAACACATATATAAACCTAAAATACAATGGTTGGACATTCTTTTGTACATTTCCCTACTGTAGGAGCCTCTGCAAGCCTACAGGGCTCTGAGAGGGTACAAGATGACAACTTTGGAATTCAACTGGAAACAGCCGATCACGCTAAATTAGCGTTTTTAGCTAACAGCTACAATAAGCATAAAAGTTACTGTACGGCTATCATTTGTTAACATGACGCTTGTTCTTTTAAATGTAATACATTTATTACCAACCTGAGAATTTATCCGGTAGTCATTTGACATGATGAACATTTTAATTTGAAATTTTTCAAATTTCAAAACATTTTAATTTTAGTTTTGAAAAGCATTTATTCAAGTTACAATTCAGATTCAATCTGAGTAATTCAAATTCGAATTTAACTTATTTAATTCAGTTTCTGATGGCACAAAGTTCTACCCATAGAAAGAGCTAACTTCACTCAGAGATGGAAAAAATAAGAAAGGCAGGACAGGAGATGAAGAAGAGAGCTTAGATTTAAAGGGAAGGACTGCTCATTTAAAGCTCAAATGTAATTCCTCATGTTTTAAAATCTGTACATGTGACATTATGTTTTTTTATAGTGTAAAACCTGCTGCTAAACAAAGTGAGCAAGACTAACTATGTTATTTAAAGGCTGCATGAAAATCCTCTGCAGGTTATTGCAGGATAAACAGGTTAGTTTGCTGCACTGTGAAAGATTTACAGTAAAGAACAGTGTGTGACTGGTGCACAGTTGCTGTGGTTTCATGGTCACAGTTAGCTTACATCAAGTGTAGCAGAGATTCATATGAATTTTAGCTGATGATGGTTGTATAGTGTCTAATATAAAGACAGAACAAACAGTGTACTGCCAGTGTAGAGGATGAAATCAGCCAGGACAACTCAGGGAACATCTGTTAACTTAAGTTGTGTACATCCACAAAGAGCAGCAGGTCAGCTGATCACAGCCTGTACATTAAGAAAATTTAGTGAAGCTGTCAATAGAAATTACTGTTAGTTATGATTATTTCCCTCACACCAGACATTACAACCCCCCCCCTCCCCCCCACCTGCTGAACCTGTAAAAGGTTAACATATGTGTTTAAGTTGAAATGTGTGGCTGGTAAATCTGGATTACACTAATAGTTAAAAAGTTAAGAGATAAAGAGACTTATGGGGATGTTAGTTCAGTTTATGTCTTCATACAAGGAAAAAAGGGAACACCCCAGTTATATTTTGGTCTTTGTATATCGTTCAGTGTTGATTCAGTATTTTCTACTTACACTTTACATCTTCCATGGCATTACTTAAAAAATACCAGTAGGTGGCGCATAGCGGCCAGGAGGAGCGTAAACCCCCTGGGAGGCAAATCTGCAGAATAAATCCTGCAGTTTAATCGTAAACAAGTTCATGCTCTGTGCCTCTTTATTTCAATACACAGCTGCGGGATCTAGGATCGCACCCCTCCCAGGCACCTGTCACACCAGGGGAGCAACAATCACACTGTAACCCCTGACTGTGCACATTTTACTGTTTAGAGGTAAAGTCACCCTTCTACAAAGGAGGCAACAGAAAATAGAATTATTTTTTATTTTCCTTTTTCTCTGCTCGTGTTCTACTTAACAGATTCAAGTTGAGTTCATTTATTAAAATTAAATATTAAAATTAAAATTTAGACTGAAATAAGATTTGTATTTCCATCCACTATTATTATTTTATTACATTAATATAGCGCAGAGTTCAGTTAGATTTGGATAAAACAGCTGGTAGAAACGTCCTCCAAGAAGATACTTTTACTTTCATATTTTGAATACATTTCAGAGCCAGTACTTCCACTTTTACTGGAGTATTATTAAACATGATTAAATACTGGACTGAATGAATAAAATTTGTCTGAGTGTCATCTTCCTCTCTCCCGGTCAGACCCAGCAGATTTCTCTGCTCTCATGTTTAAACCAGTAAACGTTACCAGCCAAACATATGTTCTCCTGCTCAATGATTCCTAAACCCCAAAAATTGTGTCCCAAAGAATGTTTCACAATAAGAGAAACAAAGCATCTCTACTACTGAAACAAAAAAATGGTTTTATTTTGAAATGGATGCAGGAAATGTAGTTTCTGTAAATTAAGTCATAGAGGACGTTTAAGAGGAAGGGAGTACATGAACACTTCAGGAAAAAGGATCATTAAATACTCAAATACAGGAAGTCTTTAGACCAGAATACATCAGTACTGTCTCTGTCTCCTCTGAAATACTATAATTTCTCATATATTACTATTAATATTAACGTATTTCTGTTACTGTTAATAACATCCTCAGTATGTCATAAGTCAGTATATCAACATCTTGCAAACAAGCTGAAGTTAGTGCCTGGCAGTGTGGTGCAGAGCAGGCGGTGGTGAACATGAAGGAGATGAAGATGTCGACCAGTTTCTGCACAGATTTCTAGCAGCTTCATATTCGAGCTCGTCAAACATCAGCTCGAGCTTGCTGCGTTCAGGTGATTAAAGTAACAAAGCTCTGAACAGCGTCACTGACAAACATCACTGCTGGAAGCCGGTCAGAGGAAGAGGAGCTAGGCCATGTGAACGAGGCCCAGAGGACATCAGACTGCAGAAGAGCATTTCTTCTTCTGATTGGCTGATTTTTGGAATGTTTCTGATCCTACATGTGTCATGTACATGTTTCGGTCTACAAATGCATCCTCCTGAGGACGCATTTGTAGACCGATTATGTCACAAGCGACGCGCCAAAGGCTGTCCAAATTCGTAGACTCCTCCGAATGCAGCCGACAAATGCATCCTCCTTTCCCCAAATTTGAAGGATGGGTCGTGTGTGTCCTTCGTGGCCCACCATATCCCAGAATTCATCCCAGCCAAACTCCAGTTTCCGGCAATGGTGGCCACTACTAAGTTGTAAAATTACTCTTATTAATCTTTCTGGGTCACAAAATAAACTTTTAACATATTTTCAGGCGAACACTATACCTGTGTTTTTAAAGGCATGCTTGTGGTTTTAGTATCAGGGTTACAGTTAGGTTATGGCTAGGTTTAGGCATTCACTTTTCATGGTTAGAGTAAGCGGCTAGGGAAAGCATTATGTCAATTAGATGTCCTCACTAGGATATGAAAATGACTTTGTGTGTGTGTGTGTGTGTGTGTGTGCGTGTGTGTGTGTGTGTCTCTGTTTATGTGTCTGTGAATTTCTGCCTGTGTCTGTGTGTGGGACAAACATAACGCCTCCTCAGACGCATTTAGTGCCGATGCTTCAGGAAATCATTCCTGCTCTTTATGTGGCAGGTGAGCACACCATTCACAAAATACACCATGACCTGGTTTCCGATGTTCCATTTAGCTCTTCCTTTGTAATACCTCTCCCATCACACTGTTTTTCTGCTTTCCAGCTCCCCTCGGTTACTGATATCTCAGATCTCATCTGTAAGTCAAAACGTTCTACTTGTCACCTAGATCCCATTCCTACAGTTTTGGTTAAGGCATGTCTACCTCCTTTGCTTCCCCTAATATCTGCCATAATCTATTCTTCACTTACCACTGGAACTGTTCCTGCTTCCCTCAAAATTGCTGCCATCACCCCAATATTGAAAAAAAAATTGGTCTAGATCCCAGTAATTTTGAGAATTTTTGGCCTATT